TGAGCTGGGCCCGCTGGAACGGTCTGGGCCGGAACCTCATCATCAAACTCAACCTGAGGCTCCGCCGCAGGTGCTGCTGCTCGAGCTCTGCGCTGAGGCCTGCCCCTGCCTCGGCCTCTGGCACGGCTTCAGCCTCATCCTCTGCCCCTCGTAAGAGCTGCCACTAGGGGCTCGGGCTGCTGATCAGCTGATGAAGCGGTATGTGTTCTCGTCATCTTGGGAAAGAACATAGTAGAAATTCAATTAGCATTGAGAGATCAAACCGCACGACGGAGATGAATAGAAGTGAAATTGTTCCTAACTCTGTAGCCTCTGGGATAAGCACAGACGTCTCCGTACCGATCCCTCAAACTCTACCAAGCTTGTTCGTGAATCATGAGACCTAGGCAACCTAGTGCTCTGATACCAACTTGTCACGATCCAAATTTCCTACCTTCGGGACCGTGATGCGCCTAACATTGCACTCGCTAGGCAAGCCAACGTTACAGAATATTACACCATTTTCCTTTATCATTTTATAATTAAAATTTTACAAGAACTAAATCAGCGGATATAAAAGCAAAAGTACGTGATTTAACTAATTACTCTATATTAATGACGAATGCCAAAATAAATGCCACCCAGAATCTGATGTCACAACTCACGAACAGTCTACGAATACTACAAGTATTGGTTTGAAAGAAAAATATACGTCTGTCTCGGAGAAAAGTAAAATAGAATGCATTAAAGATAGAAGGGGACGCCAGGGCTTGCGGACGCCTGCAGGACTACCTTGGGTCTCCTGAATGGAGTGATAGCAACCAAACTCTCGATCAGCCACTAGCTCCGAAATCTGCACAGAAAGTGCAGAGTGCAGTATCAGTACAACCGACCCCATGTACTGGTAAGTGCCGAGCCTAACCTCGACGAAGTAGTGACGAGGCTACGGCGGGGCATAACAATATATATAACCTGCAACAGTGTATACTAAAACACAAAGGAAATACAGAATGAAATAAACAGTAACTAGCATTAGACGAATACGAAATCCGGTCGTTCTACCAATACTCAGCTATAACCAATCCTTAGGGGAGTTTCAACACCACAATAATGAACCTCAGCAGAATATAAATACATAAACAACAAATGATGCGGCGCGCATCCCGATCCCACCATATAATCAATAACAGTATAACACTTCACCCTTATTACTCCTTGTTGCGGCGTGCAACCCGATCCCACCAGTCCACCCTTATTACTCCTCAATATATCACCCTTATTCCTCCTGTTGCGGTGTGCAACCCGATCCCACCAGTCCACCCTTATTACTCTTTGTTGCGACGTGCAACCCGATCCCACCAGACAATCACATTCACCTTTATTCCTCCTGTTGCGGCATGCAACCCGATCCCGATATACATATCAGCACCAATCACAAAATAGAGACAAGTGTTTCACAAGTTAACTCACATCCTCCACAACACTTATACCTCAAACCAACACAAGGAAATCTCATTACAATTATGAAAGTTCACCAGTTAAAACTACACAGCGAGACCAACCAAAGTGTACCATGAAGCACCAATAAGCCAACATAAACCAACAGTGTAATATAATGGAACAAAGGAACAATTAACAACACCAATAGAGAAACAACATTAAACAAGAAGCAATTAGACATGGAAGCATCAATAAGCAAGTAGCAAGTAAAACAGGAGAGCAAAATATAGGGAAACGGGGCAAGGGAACATGCTAAACAAGTAATTTGGCGACGCATAGGTGCTCGTCACCACACCTATACGCCACACACATGGTATTTCACATAGCAAGCAAGTCGGGGATCCCTGATCCCTCAAGTCAAGGTTAGACCAAACACTTACCTCAAGCCAACGGGTAACTCAGAGCTCAACCACCGCTTTACCTCTCGATTCCACCACCAATCCACTCGTATCTAGCCATATTTAACTTAATAACATCAATAAATGCTAAAGAAACCAATTTCAATGCATAATTATAGATTTTCCAACATTTTCCCCAAAAAGTCAAATATCGACCCCGGGCCCGCTTGGTCAAAACTCGAAATTCGGACCAGAACCCGATTACCTATTCTCCCCCGAGCTCGAATATACAATTGGTTTTGAAATCCGACCTCAAATTGAGGTCCAAACCCCCAAATTTTGAAATCCCTAAATTCTACCCAAAACACCCAATTTCCCCATGAAAACCCTAGATTTCGTGATGAAATTTTGTAAAAAAATGAAATAGATTGAAAGGGATGAGTCGGAAATCATTTACCTGTGATTTGGGGAAGAACTACTCTTTAGAAAGTCGCCTCTTAAAGCTTAGGGTTTGAAAATTTGAGAAATGAATTGAAAATCCCGTCTAAGTTATGTTTAGAACAGTTGCAGGTATCGCATTTGCGATCACAGGTTCGCAAATGCGAACTCGCAAATGCGACCAATACTTCGCAAATGCGAAGCGTGGCCTGGCCTGCTGCCTTCGCAAATGCGAACAATTGTTCGCAAATGCGAAAGTCCCTTTCCCAGCCCTCTGATTGCAAATGCGAAGTAACTTCGCAAATGCGAAGTCTGCAAATCTGCAACATACCAGAAAATTCCTTAAGGCTCAAAACACTCTGTAGCCTATCCAAAACTCACCCGAGCCCTCGAGGCTCCAAACCAAACATGCGCACAAGTCTTAAAACATCATACGTACTTGCTCATGCTATCAAATCGCCAAAATAACTCCTAGAACTATGAATTCAACACCAAAACGCATGAAATTTTCAAGATAGTTCAAACTTTCTATTTTCTCAACCAAAGGTCCGAATCACGTCAAATTACTTTCGTTTTCCACCAAATTTCACATATAAGATTTAAATATTATAACGGACCTGTACCGATCTCCGGAACCAGAATACGGGCCCAATACCAACAATATCAAACATTATTAAATTTCCAAAAACCATTATATTTTTCAGTTAACAATTTTCTTCAAAAATTTATTTCTCGGGCTAGGGACCTCGGAATTCAATTCCGGGCATACGCCCAAGTCCCATATTTTACTACGGACCGTCGGAATACGGGTCCGGGTCCATTTACCCAAAATGTTGACCGAGGTCAACAAAAATCATCTTTTTAAGCCAAAAATCATCTTTTTCTTAAATTTTCACATAAAAGCTTTCCGGATAGGCCCGGACTGTGCACGCAAATCGAGGAGAGATAAATGGAGGTTTTTAAGGCCTCGAAATACGGAATCGGATTCTAAAACAAAAGATGACCCCTTGGGTTATCAGTCGAGCATGTTAGGAGGTAGTTGTGCATATCTCTATAGCGCACCAGAGTGAGGCTAGTATGTTAGGATTTTGTCTTAGACTAATATTGTGTTCACACTACTCTTTCATTTCTTTTAGTGGCGGGCTTTATCTACTAGTTATTGGTTTGCTTTTCATCTATGTTCTTGTGATGTTGTTATTTCTTTCTATGGTTTTTATTATTGGTACTGATATATTATCTCTTTTCATCTTTTTGAGCCGAGGGCTATCGGAAACAGCTTCTCTATCCCTCGAGGTAGGGGTAAGGTCTGCGTACATGCTACCCTCCCCAGACCCTACTAGTGAGATATCACTGGGTCGTTGTTATTGTATGGGGACTATCTCCATACTATATTCTCGCTTTATGACTTCAATATAATTAGTCGTCTTTCTTTATTAAAAAAAAATAGGATATTAGTACACTATATATAACAAGGAAAGTGAAATTGTTAATTTCCATCTATTAAATATATTACTCCTATCAAGTATTCAACAAAAACAGAGGAATATCTGGAAAAGAGAGAAGAAATCCTTTGCTCTTAGCTGAATAAATTGTCAATAAATTCAAAAAAGATGAATAAATTGTTAATAAATTCAAAAAAGCTGAATCTGATGCTGAACCAATTTTTCTTTTTATGTTTTCCACAAATAATTTTACTTTATTTACTTTAAAACAAGAAAGCAAATGCATCTCCAGTGGTAAAAGGGGTAAGTAGCTTTTCTTTTTGTTATTCCAAAGAACTAAACTTAAGCAACTTATTCACTGGTTAAATATTCCAAATTACCTCTCTGACCTGAGGAGGAGGTTAATTCATGGACGATCATTCAACTTTCAATTTATTGCATCACAATTATAAAACTAATTTTCGTAAGAAAAAGTTAACCAAAACTATTTATATATATTTCACATAAAATAAAAACCGTCAAAAAAAAAAATGTTCAATCCAGTCACGAAAACACAAGTTGCTAGGTTGACACTCTAACAACTTATTTTACATAATATCCACGTGACATCAGAGGCGAACCCATGATTTGAAGATGGCGATGGCACATAAGCGGACTACTCAACCAATGCCTCATCGGACTTCTGATTTTAAGAGTTTCAGGCAATATATATATAACCCTTTTTAACATATATATATGTTAACGAGGTCCGATGACCCTTCCTCTCAGTACATAGGTCTGCCTCTGCGTGACACCACCTAGAAAAAAGAGAGGAAAAACTCATCTTCCGACCCACTTAAAAGAATAATGGTAATGATGCGTGAAATTGTAAAATACATGGGATATTAGGTTAGATCAAAGAATGAGGTTTTTTCTTATTCTTTTAATTGATCTACATGAATATTATGTAAGATGAGTTACCAATGTCGTAAATATACTTACATGATATTTTTATATAGCTTTTTCAGTTACTTGCATTTTTTTAGACCGATCTTACCGTTTTTCAGAGTCTTTATTTCTAGAATACAACAACAAAAACAACCCAGTGAGATCACACAAGTGAAGTTTGGGGAGAGTAGTGTGTACGCAAACCTTACCCCTACTCCGGAGGAGCAGAGAAGCTCTTTATTTCTAGAATATATAGATATAATAATTGAGTTATTTTTCTGTTAATGACCATGATGTAATAAATTAAAAGTTAAATGGCATCATTTAGCATCACTTTTGAAAATCTTATTCCAATCTTTCCACATTATATATAAACAAAACACTAAATAATTGGTACAAAGTGTAGCCAATTTCAATAACCATACATGCTCACCACCAATAAACTAAAATGCAGAGCAACTTCAGTGCAAAAGCAAATTACAGATCAGAAGCTTACAGAGCTGCATCAGGAGAGCAATCTCCCGAATTTTTACGCGATTTTTGGAGAGAAGAAGGCGTCGCACCGATTGATAATCGTGGCGAAACCATCCTTCACTTTCTTGCAATACACGGTAACGTTGCTGGTCTTGAAATTCTTGATCCGTTAAACATTAAAGATCTGGAAATTACGAATAACAGTGGAGATACGCCGTTGCATGAAGCTGCTAGATTTGGTAAAAAGGATATGGTAGTGATGATTTTGAGCAAGGAGAAGTACTTAGTTTTTTTGCGGAATAACTTAGGTGAGTTGGCGCGCGGAGGTGGAAGTAGGTTCTGCCGAACTCAATAGCTTTTGTTCAAATAGTGTATTTGTGTTAAGAAATTCATTAAATACATACATATATTAAATTTAGAAGTCAGTTATTAGTACTTGATGAGTCTGTCGTTCTAAAATTCAGAACTCATAAAGTTGAAATTTTGGCTCCGCTTCTGTAGGTGAGACACCGCTTTACGTAGCAGCTGCAAGTGGGGAGAAAGAAATTTTTACTTTTCTAGCAAATTACGATTTCACTAAGCTCACCATGAGGAGAAATGATGGTAAAACTGTTCTTCATGCAGTAGTAGACCATGAATTTTATGGTAAGTTTTATATTGATAAACGTATTGTTTCTTACATTCATTTATTTATATTTTTAAATATGTGAATCTTGATTCAACTCGTCCAAAATTTACTTCAATAAAAATATGTTAGGTCAAGATGTGTCAAATGACGGGTCATAATCCAAACTACCTAATCTCCCATCTTTTCTGTTTTGCTTTTTGAAAAAAAAAAATAATTTTCTTAATTTTATTTATTAGCTCATGTTTTTCCAAATTTATATCCTCCCTCAATTTCAATTTATATGAATCTATTTGACTGGATACAACCTCTTGCTGAAATGCATGGTAAGGTTGCGTACAATAGACCCTTGTGGTCTGGCCCTTCCCCAGACCCCGCGCATAGCGAAAGCTAGTGCACCAGGCTGCCCTTTTAAGAAAGAAAAAACAGACTGTTGAAACTCTGCAATCTTATACATGTAATAACATTTGTTTGGCAATACGACTTTAGAAACTTGTGATCTTACACCTGTCATCATAACATTTGTGTGACTATAAAAACTTCTCGACCTAATTATTTTGTTTCGTGTCAAGCAGATCTAGCGATAGATATCGTGAATCTATATCCAGACATTGTAAGCATACGTGATGATGAGGGTATGACTGCTTTAAATGTTTTGGCTACAAAGAAGTTATCATTCAGGAGTGGATCTGCTTACTTGTTTGAAGAAATAGGCAAAACACCTTCAGTTCCTGTTCAGATGGTTGAAATCATCATCTATTTTTGTAAGCTCAATTTGTTTTAAATTATCCTCAATTTAGTTTAGTTTGACCAGTTTTATATTTTGGGGTTATTCATACTGTTGTTGTTCGCCAATCGTCTCGTATTTACTCTTGATTTTAGAACTTGAAGTCATCGTTCTAAAATCGTCTCTACTTTTGACTAACCATAGCTTAGAATTGCTCCTCGTTATACTTTAGGAAAGTGTATTAATGATCCCAAAGTATAACAGAGTAAATTTAATGTGTTTCATATAGTAGAAGTGTAATTTAACTATTTTCCCTTGAAGCTAGATCTGATTTTATTTGAACGGCAACCTGGTGCACTAAGCTCCCACTATGCGCGAGGTCCGGGGAAGGGCCGGAACACAAGGGTCTATCGTACGCAATCTTACCCGGCATTTCTGCTAGAGGCTGTTTCTACGGCTCGAACCCGTGACCTCCTGGTCTCGTGGCAGTAACTTTACCAGCTACGCCAAGGCTCCCCTACGATCTGATTTTATTTGAACGACTTTCTTTAATATTTGATGGAGCAGGTATTCCGGTGTTGTTTGAAGAATCAAAACTTAGTGATAACTCGAGCAATACACGAGCTAGAACCAAAGTTGTCCCTGTAGAAAGGTCTTTATTCATCAACTTTCTATTAGGTATGCTCTCATTTTTTGTTGCTTGGACTCTTCAAAATTCAGCCAGTTGCATATCGGAACCTCCGAAAATAATATTTTTTTGAGGATCCGACATGGATTACAACAACATATTTGAATAGTTCGAGCAACATATCTCTCCATATTCATCCATCGTATGATAAATTCTTGCATTTTTAAGTATGTATCTTCTTTGTAGGTAATTCCTGGTTACAAGCCATTGATGAAGCAAAGCAAAAGCATATTCTTGCACTAATATTAGCAAAAATGTTGCTGGAAAATTTTGATTGGAGCTATACATACAGTGTGCGAAATCCGCTAATACAAGCATCAAAACTTAAAATCAATGAGTTAGTGGTGGAAATTTTGCGAATATACCCTGAAGCTGTCGAGACATTGGACGAAGAAGGGAGGAATATATTGCATGTAGCAGTGAAGCATAAAAACAGATTTCTTTTTGATTATTTGGTCAAAACAGTGGCTCACAAAGATAGAATCCTAGCAGATATTGATCAAAAAGGGAATACTATTCTGCATTATGCAGCTAATGTCGGGTCGCCATTCCGTACATCAAATGCAGAACATGAGGAAGAGATCTGGTGTATCCTGTCTGTGTTCATGATGATGTGGGGTGTGCTTTGGTTTAAGGTACTTTTCTCTTCTCCTTTGTATGCATTTTTGTTATTTTTGATTAGCTAATTCTGTTATAGATGGACCTCGCTACTTTCTGTGTAAGCTTGCTCACATTGTTGGTCCGTAGGCTGACAGCCCACGTAAAACTAGTCAACTTGAATGAGCAACCGTGAAGCCTACCTTATGACACACCTTATGGAAGTACGCTTTCTGTCCGCTTTTGGCTGCATATATGTTGGAACTTGTCCATCAATTCTCACACTATATCTGGTCCCAACATTTTCCTTTCCTCAGGCTCGAACCATCCTATTGGAAAGCGGCAACGCTTACCATACAGTGTCTCATATAGTGCCATCTGAATGATGGCTTGTTGTTTTTGTAGACAAACTCTATACAGGCTAAGTATTAATCCAAATTACCCCAAAATCAACCACACAAGCTCTCACGTAGTTCGAGTCGGACATTGTTAGATTTAATGGACTTTCACACTCTCTGACACACACATGTATATATGTATTAATAATATAATTGTATGTTATTTTCCATCATAGAAGGTTTGGCCCAAATTAAAAGTGATCTGCTGAGGTTTAAAGTTAACTAGGCCTAAAACACCTCAAGTATAGGTTTATGTGTAGATATCCTAATGTATTTTAATGTTGAGATATGCTAGGGAAAAAAAATACCTATGTGCAATTATAAGTCGGGCTATAGTCGCCAAATCAGACATATGATTCTTTTCCGATATCTATCTAAAGAGAGAGCCATATGATTCTTTTTCGATATCCTATCTATAGAGAGAGCCGTCTTCCCTGAAATCTATACGCCTTGGATTGGAAGATCACTAATAGCAAGACTTCTGCGCCTAGTTTATTTTCTTGATAATTTGATATGATAGGTCTTGAGAAGACGATGCCTAGTTTTTATTTGAAGTTTTGTTCCTACATCTCATTCAAAAGGTTATACTATTAGTTTACACTTAATGCAACTTCAACAAATACCTGCATTAGTATTTTAGTGATTTTCTAACTCATGATCATTCTTGCAGCGCGTAAAATCCCACGTACATCCACGTCTATGGGACGTTAAAAACTCCAACGGCGTTACAGCAGAAGAGATATTCGAGGAAAACCATTTACACATACGAAAAGAAGCAGAAGATGCAATAAGAAGTCTAGCAAATTCTGCACTAGTACTTGCTACTCTTCTTTGCACTGTCAATTTCGCCGCGATTTTCACACTTCCAGGAGGTTTTGATCAGAAAACCGGCCTACCAATCTTCCTCAACAAACTGAAATATGAATTAAAGATGATGATATTTTACTTATGTGCAGCTATTTTAAGTTCAGCAGTCACCATTGGTACTCTATTATCATTTATGCTTTGCAAATTCGACACCGATGATTTTTACATATCTTTACCTACAAGAGTGGTAATTGCTATGGTTTCAGTGTTTTATGCAACAACATTTTCAGTTCTGGCCTGTGTTCAAACACTTAACCTTGATAATATATTTTGGAACAAAGATGTCTGGTGGTTAATTATAGCTATGGTAACTGTTGGTTTTATTATGACACTTATTTATATAGATTTAGCATTTCCCATCTTTGATTATTTGTATTATTTGGTTTCTTATTCATTTACATCCCCTAAGAGAGGGCATATGTAAGTTTAAGGTTTTAACCAAATTGTATGACTCTGTTGTAAGCTTTTCATTATTTGAATTAGTGAGATAAGAAGGTTAAATTTTTGCTATCACATCTCTTGTTTCTTTGCTTTTTCTTTGTAGCTAATAAAGTTTCTTGATAATCTGTCGCTGAATAGTATTAGGAACGAATTTTTCTATTTAGTGACGGGCACAAAACACCACAAGAAATTTCCTTGAGCCGAGGGTCTGTCGGAAACAACCTCTCTATCTTTATAAGGTAGGGGTAAGGTTTGCGTACATACTACCCTCCCCAAACCCCATTTATGGGAATATACTAGGTTTGTTGTTGTTGTTGTTGTTGTTTATGCTTGATGATCAAAGATAGTATAGTTTAATTATCGTCTCTACAAGGATTGAATTTAAATAATGTTCGAGTAGTTTCTGGTTTAAATGCTATTCAGGATGATCTACTTTGATTTGGAATAATTAATGACTATGACTAACAAACTAAATTAAAGGCAGAGTAAAAATTAATCACAGAGAACTAGAGAGTAGAGCAATGGGTTATTATCAATACGAAGAAAAAGGGTCTTGACATGATAGGTACAAGATTGCTATCCTGGATTTGATATTGTTAAATTTCACTTTTAAAGTTCTATCGATTTTCACAAATTCAACAGGTTATTAGCTTACACTTCTGATTCAAATTCTTCTCTCAATTAAACTAAAACCTTTCATATACACTAATATGAAGAGCAGTTAAACCTGCAAGAAATTTGTTGGTACGAATGGCATAAGAGAAACTCTCGTGAATATTTCTCAATCTTAATTTAAATGGTAACTTAAAAAGATTGTTTGATTACTTCAAAGAATCACCAAAATAAACTAAGGCATACGCTGCAATATATTCAATAAGATGTTCCTCCTTAGATTAAAATCACAACTAATATTAAAGCTCCTTCAACAAATTCAAGCAATTAGTTATTAGTCAAATCCATAAATAATAATCAAGTCAACAAATCATGTCAAATCCTAAAGTAAATTACTCCATAGATACGGATAAAGTCATCCCAGATAAAGTTGAAGAATAAGAAAACATTAATCCAACGTTACAATCCAAACTCGCGTATTGAATGGCGGAAGGATGATGAATTCTTGTATCTTCAAGCCTCTAATACTCTCCCAATCGTTCCTAGGTCAAAAGTCCTTTAAAATCGCATTTTTGGTGTATTTATACCATGTAGGAACGGGCCAGGATGAAATTACTCTTTCCAAGCTGAATTAGGAAAATTGGAGAGCAGAAACACATAGGCGGCGCCATGCGCCGCGCATGTGGGGATTTTCAAAGAGCCAAATTCTATCAGGCATGCCACAAATGCACTGCCACGTCGCATCGCGCGGCACCACATACGGCGCAGTAGTGCAATTTTCTTCGCTCCGGAATTTTTTTACTTTTTAACATCAAGACTTGGTCTTCGAACCCTGAACGCAGTCCCGGTTTAATTCCTTGGGATTCTACTCAGACTTCAAAGCTCTAATACGTTCGTTTTGCGCTCCAAAATTGCTTCCTAACGCGGAATCACACCCACAAAGCACAACACACGTAATAAGTACAAATCATCATCAATTATACTGCAATAATTAAAGTGCAAAATATAGCTAAAACACGAGTTCCTAGCCTACATCATTTAGCTACATAATTTATCCGTCGCTAATTCCTATTTCTTTAGTAGTGAAAAGAGAGAGCTTAGAAGAGTACATAGACATCCAAAAAGAGAAAGCTTGAAATTATTTAGAATTTTCATTCCTTGGATATGAAGTATTATAAGGATCATGAACATTAATAAAGGAATATCAGGAAATGAGAGAAGCAACCCTTTACTCCCTAACTAAATAAAGTGTAAACAACTGTTGCTTTTTCACAATTTCCACAAATAAAGGCAAGTGGGGTGTAAGTAAGCTTTTCTTTTTGTTCCTCCAATTAGTAAACAAACTTTAGGAACTTTTGCTAAAGAAGATATATAGTATAATCTATTTCTACAGCAGCCTATGCATATATTCGTCCTAGAGTAATGTCACTCGTGTGTCCTGTTGTTGGTGAGAGATATAGTAACAATTAGTGGCGAAGTCAGGAATTTCGCGAATGATGTTCAAGATTTAATGTACACATATAAAAATAATTTTTGACCTATATATGTAATATAAGTTTCTATATACACACTATATTTTATCGATGAAGGGTGTTCAGTTGACCACCCTTCAGTATATGTGGCTACGCCCTGGTCATAATTGTGTATCACCAGTCTTTGAAACTAAGTTTGTACATGTTTGGCTAATCAATTTGAAAAATATTTTTTTTAATATTAAAGCAGTAATTTGTTCTTGACCAAGGTTCCAAAAATGCTTTAGGAGAAGCTATTTTTTCAACTTCGGGAAAACTACTTGCACTACTACTAAAAAACACTTGTTTTTTTCGTGAAAGCTTGACGGAACTACTCAATTCTCTAAAATAACTCACTTTTTGTATATATAAAAAATACACTTTTGGCTTCCCGTGTGACCTATAGGTCATGGATTCGAGCCGTGGAAGCAGTCAGTAGTGCTTGCATTAGGATAGGTTGTCTACATCATTACCCCTGGGTGCGGCTCTTCCCCGGACCCTGCCTAAACACGGAATGCCTTGTGCACCGCGCTGCCCTTTATTACACTTTCGGCTTCGCAGAAACTTGGCCAAACAGGCTTATTATTGAAGCAACCAACAGGGGCCATGATATTTGCATCACTTTTGAATGGCTTATCTCAGACTTTCCACAAATATACAGGGATGGATTTACTTGGGGGGCAATCCATTCTCATTTTTGTTTTCTAAAGGGGAAGATCCATACACACAACACACACATAATTTATACATAGAAGTATAAGAAATCAGGACTATATAATTGGTTTAACTAGAGGTGCATGCCAATCTCATTCATCATACAAAATTAGCAAAAATTGAAACAAAGCAATTATGCAGAGCGACTTCAATGCCAAAGCAAGACGTAGATCAGCAGCTTACAAAGCTGCATCATCAGGAAGGGAATCTCTCAATGTTTTACTCGATTTTTGGAGAGAAGAAGGCGTCGCAAAGATTGATAATCGTGGCGACACAATCCTTCACTTTCTTGCTGTTAACGGTAACATAGCTGGTTTCGGAATTCTTGATCCTTTGAGCATTAAAGATCTGGAAATTGCAAACAACAGTGGAGATACACCGTTGCATGAAGCTGCTAGATTTGGTAATGTTGAAATGTGCGACCATCTCATCTAAGAAGTAAACTGTTTGAGGGAACACGTTTTTATTTACTTAGTTATGTCTTGAACACACCCGTCATGTGAGAACTTGATTCTTTTTTCATGAATAAAACACGGTTAGAGAAAGCATGCTTTTATTTGCTTAATTATGTTTTCGATAGGTAAAAAGAATATGGTGGAGATGATTTTGAGAAAGGAGAAGGACTTAGTTTTTTTGCGCAACAATTTGGGAGAGACACCACTTTACGTAGCGGCTGCAAGTGGGGAGAAAGAAATCTTTACTCTTCTGGCAAATTTCGACTTCAATAAGCTCACCATGAAAAGGAATGATGGAAAAAATGTACTTCATGCAGCAGTAGCCCATGATTGTTATGGTAAGGTTTACATTGATGAACAAATTATTTCTTTTGGTTTGTCATCCGGTGTTCAGTAGCCGTTTTAGGGTCCCGACTAATTTGGATTCGTGCTGCGTAAGGTGCATTAAAGGGATAAGCGCTTCCACATTGATGGAGGGAATGGACGATATTGTCTCCTTATATTGTCTTAGGCAATTCATACCTCATAACTTTTGGGATTAAGTTAGGTTCAAGATTCGTCTTTTCAACATAATACGTGTTCTTGGTTTACCCAATATTGAGCCCCTGAGAATGCTATCCACATACTAAATGTGTAGTTCTTGGCCTGTGGAAGCGGAAGGGTGTATGTTAAGTGTCCCACATTGTTTGAGAGAATGCGCTGTTAGCTGCACAAACTAATTGTTTTGTTGTTTAATGTCTGGCAGCTCTAGCAATTGATTTGGTGAATCTATATCCTGAACTTGTTAACGAACGCGATAACGAGGGAATGACTGCTTTGAATCTGTTGGCTACAAAAAGATTGTCATTCAGGAGTGGATCCAACTACTTGTTTGCAGAAATAGGGAAGACACCTTCTGTTCCAATTCAGATGATTGAAACCATAATCTATAATTGTAAGCTCAACTTAAGTGAACTACTAAACATTATAAAAGTGAAGTTACAAACTGTTTTTGTCACTTTAAAGTAACTGAACTTTACTCATTATAACAGTAATTCTACATTTATGTGGTAGCAGGTATTCCACCGCGATATATAGAATCAAAGCTTGGTGTTAACCAGACACAAACTGGCACTAAAATCGTCCGCGTTGAGAGGTTTTCGTTTACCGAGTCTCTATTAGGTATCATCCATAATTTTGAATCTTTTAGGTTCAACTGGAGGAAATGAATTTCTATATTGTATTACTTCATGTGACCAGGAGGTCACGGGTTCGAGCCGTGGAAACAGCCTCTTGCAGAAATGCAGGGTAAGGCTGCGTTCAATAGACTCTTATGGTCCGACCCTTCCCCGGACCCCGCGCATAGCGGGAAGATTTGTGCACCGTGCTGCCCTTTTTTTAATTAATTCTTTTAACTAATCTTGCATTATTGTATCTTGGTTTCTCTAGGTAATTCCTGGTTACAAGAAATCGATGAAGCAAAGCAGAAGCATATTCTTGCACTAATATTAGCAAAAATGTTAGTGAAAAATTATGATTGGAGCTACAGTACACAGAGTGTGCCAAGTCCACTAATACAAGCATCAAAACTTAAAGTCGACGAGTTAGTCGTTGAAATTGTGCAAATGCATCCTGAAGCTGTGGAAAACTTGGATGAAAAAGGGAGGAACATAATGCATATAGCAGCAGAGCATAAAGACAGATTTCTATTTGATTACTTGCTCAAAACAGTGCCTAGCAAAAACAGAATGCTGGCAGATATTGATCAACAAGGAAATACCATTTTGCATTATGCAGCAAATGTTGGGACACCATTTTTTACATCAACCACAGATCTTACTAAAAGTAATGTTGGTACACCATCTTCTACATCAACCACAGATCATACTAAAAGTAATGTTGGCACACCATTTTTTACATCAACCACAGATCATACTAGAAGTATTTGCTGTGTTATGGCTGTGTTAATGATGATGTGGGGCATGCTTTGGTTTAACGTACGATTCTTTCCTCAATTCTTATTGATAACTATGATGTCCGTGCCAGCTTGCATGCACCTTGACTAATTCCACGTGTTATAATTGTTCTTGCAGTATATAAAATACAACCTACATCCACGCCTTAGGGATGTTAAAAACTCCGATGGTTTAAAAGCAGAAGAGATATTCGAGAGAAACCATTTACGCGTACGAAAAGAAGCAGAGACTTCAGTTAGAGAACTATCAAATTCTATGCTTGTACTCTCTACTCTCCTCTGTACCATCAACTTCGCCGCGATTTTCACTGTCCCTGGAGGTTTTGAAGAGAATACTGGCCTACCTATTCTCCTTGACAAAGTGCAGCAAGAACTGTGGATGCTGATGTTTTACTTAGGTGCAGCTCTTTTTAGTTCAGTGTTCACTATGGGTACACTTTTATCATTTCTTCTTTGCAAATTCTATAGCAATGATTTTTACATTTCTTTGCCTACAAAGATCATAATTGCTATTATTTCAGTGTTTTATGCCACAGCATTTACAATCTTAGCCTGCCTTCAAGCCCTTAACCTTGAGAATATATTTCTGAACAAAGATGTTTGGTGGCTTATTATAGCTGTTGTTGCTGTTGGCTTTATTATGACACTTATTTATATAGACTTAGCATTTCCAGTCTTTGATTATATGTACTATTTGGTTTCTTATTCATTCTTTGTATCTTATAAGAAATGACATATGTAAGTTGATTAAGGTTTCAGCCATAATCTATGTACTGCTTTGTCAGCTAAATATTATTCTTGTTGCATATACTCTTACAGTTGTTGCCCCTTCCCTTTATCTTTCCTGAACCGAGGGTCTACCGGAAACAACCTCTCTGCCTTCTTAAAGGTGAGGGTAAAGTCTACGTACACACTACACTCCCTAGACCCCACTTGTGGGATTATATTGAAATTTTAGTTGTTATTGTTTTTTGCATGTACTATTGCAATCGGCAAAGTTTTGTGACTTTATTGTTATAATGAAGCATAAATGTGTCATATGGATTTCTCTTTTAATAAGAGTCCAATATTTAATCGCCGGGTGTGGGTAAGTATTTCCCCTGAACTGAATAGATTTATACCTTCATAATCTAGGAAGTCTTAATTTTTTAGAGAAAATCCAAAAAGAATAAAAAAGGTGAAAATATATCAAAAAATAAATCCATTCATTTCACTAATTGCTTCTATACAACATCTATAATATTTTCCTCCCCTTTTTGCCATTTCTTGGATAAACAATATGCTCTATCATCAAGATATTGGAAGATAAGACTACCCCAGAATATGTACACAAAAGAAACTATGATTCATTTAAGAAATCTAGTAGTGCAAACTTCACATGCAAACCTATCTTACCACCCTCTGTAACAAGCTTAGCAGCGGTTACCAACCAATGTCCAGGAGTGTCATAGGGCCCTCGTGCAACCTCAGCCGTATCTACATACTTGAGCAGCTTTGTTGATCGAACTGGTACGGGGGGCCCCTCTGGATATACGCCTGAATTAAGAGCAGCAGGATGCTGCTTTGGTGCAGCATCTGCCTTTGTTCGCTGAGTGAACGTAAAAGTTGTGCTGAGATTTGTCAAGAAACTTGACCTATGAGTACCCTCTGGTGTAGCTGCCCACTCTGTCTTTCGTATTGTGCAGTTGGGAAGATGGGTGAAAAGTAGACGCAAGTGAAGCACCGTCTTAGGCCATTTCCCTTTGCTGATAAGTTGTGCGCCAGCTACCACAAATACGCCACTAGTCTCGCCTTGCATCCAGCTTGGATCATGCTTAACTACAGATGAGCAGACATTGGAATATCTTGGCCATCTGACCGGTTCTAAGAATTGGTCACTAGATTCATAATCATCAGACCCTCGCCACTGACATGGCTTGCGTAAGGTTGGGTTAGCAGATTTTGATGTCATAATGTTCGGTAAACTAGAAAGATGCTGTACATGTATAGCTAATTGGTTGAATTTTTTCCCTTCCAAATACAAGCGCAAACCAATGACCGGCTTTTCACCACTAGTAACCTACAAATTAGAAGAACATATCGGTCATCAGGTGCCATCATGTACATCAATCTTCAGAAGAGCAACATCTATCAGTTAAAAGAGATGAGTAGTAGGTATATGGTTGTACTCTAAAAGATTTTGGCTGAATACATACGGAGACACTTAAAGTTGGCACGATTTTTCATTTAGACACCTAAACTTAAGGGTGTAAGCAAGCCACTTTCACTGCCTCCACCATTGATTTAGCTCGAAGAAGAAGAAGAAGATGAAGAAGAAGAAGAGGAGGAGGAGGAGGAGGAGGAGGAGAACTGAGACTAAATGAAAGCCAGTTCTTCGAAAGCAATGAACCCATTGCCATTTTCTGCTACACACTTTTTCTCTTTCTCTCACTACAATGGGATCGGAAAAAGAAACAGAGCAAAGCAGAGGAAGAAGAAGAGAGTAAAACTGAAGTGAGTCTGAGTTCTTCATTTCAAATTGAAACACTATTAATGGGGTCTTTAAAAAGCTTGAAGGTTTAAAATGGGTTACTTGATTTGATGAAAGTTTGGGAAATTAATATTAGGGTTGTCTTCGGGTCGTCGTGGGGAATCTTTAGCTGAAGTTATAACAAATTTGGAGGAGTTTCTCTTAAAAATTTGGATTAAAACCGTGCTTGGAACAAGAACACGAATGAAAATAGTGAAAAACACCAAGAACACTGATTTCCAGAACACCAATGTCTCATTTTTTTTTAAATGTGTTCTTTCCTGATTGGGTGTAAATTAAGTTTTTATTTTCTTTTTGAGAATGTTATTTTTTTTTTTTATTAAATAGATCTAACATAGTTTTTCCTTTTTTTTACTCAAAATAATATATGTCCTTTTTTTATTCGTCATTCGCCACGTCAGTAGCGAGTGCATTGCACAAACTTTGGAAGTTCGGCTGATAGTCAAAGAAGTGCTTAATTGGAATAAGTTTTGGGTAGTATAAGTGCTCAATAGGAACACCCTTAAGTTTAGGTGTCTAAATGAAAAATCGTGCCAACTTTAAGTGTCTCCGTATGTATTCAGCCAAAGATTTTTGGATGGTTAAAAACTTTTCCATGTTGGAGTTTCCACTATCCAACCAATGCATTAAAAGCCATGGATAGACCAATATTTCGTTTAAAAAGCACATATAGTTTCAACTATTCTTATACTTGTAAAAAAGCAGGGGTCTTAGAGCTAAGAAAGCAACACGAATAAGTACCTGGGTAGGGCTCACACAAATCTTTGGGCCGAATAAACAGAACTGCAATGCAGGGCAAGATGCCACTCTTCTTTGATGCCTAAGAGGCAGCTCACAGAATAATGGTGCCCACTGTGTAGGAACTTGAAACTCAAGGAAACACTGTAAATCCTCTAAAGCTGGCTTATCTGACGATGAAACAAAATACAGATAACACTACCATCATCAGTCATGAGCATAAAATGAAAAAGAAAATACGACAGATGAGATAAATAAGTTGATGTGGTGAAATATGCTAAATAGTAAATACGATAGTAGAATTTATCAAGAAAACAAGTTCCTCAAAATGTGTCAAACATTCTTCTGTTCGTATAATTATTTCTTGTCTAGGTAAGTTAATATGCTGAAAAGTTAAAGGGGATGTCAACGAGAGACTAATTGCAACACAAAAGAAATAGCCTCAGAATAACTGCACAGGGCAAATTTCAATTGAAATTGTTGCCATGTCACCAGACAGCCTTGTTATAGCCACAGTACAATACTGCAGTAGGTAAGCATCATATAGAAATACTACTAGTTCACAAAAGAAGGATCAGCTACAAAAAGAAAATGATAAAAGCTACTCTTAAAGACATGATAGTCAAAACGTATTCAGCTCTTTGTGAACTTCGAAAAGAAAATATATATAGTGGAAAATCTCTATATTAACATTCAATAAGAAGAATTAGGTCAAAATGGAGTCTTGAAATCTACACAAATATCTAATTTGGACTTCATGGACCAAATATGAGATCGTTGTAGGCTAAATCCAATTTCTTCTGATCAGGCGAGGTGGATGCCAAAAAGAAAAAAGATTGATATACCTTAGGGGTTATTCCTTGTACTTCCAATTTTGGACATTCAAGAACCAGTGGACTCATTATTATCCAAGGAATAGTTAAATAAGAACAAGTTGACATCACCAATAATTACACTGTATGTACTACTTCGAAACAGCACTCATGTAAAACTTCGAGTTGCACCTAGTTCATTCGTGTTGAACTATGAATCAGAAAACAAAATGAGACATCCATTGTCTTTTTCAAAAAAAAGAAAAAGAACCATTTTTTAAACATATCAATACTAGCCCATCATGATCGTAAATCTAAAAGATATAATCTACCCAGACTCACTTATGATCATGTTAGCTCAATTTCATACCACAATAACGATATGCTTGATATTAGCCTCTCTTATTTGGAAGACAAAAGTCTTACCTAAGCTTAGGTACTTGATTGTTCAGGGTCAAATTAGAACCAATCAACTATTACACTTCAGAAAGCTATACAAATCCCTAAACCCCAACTAAAACAATATCTGCAAGAACAATATAAAAAAAATGCTATTTATTTACATATAAAAAAGAGGTGTACCCTCTTATCTGACTATAGATCATTAAAGACTGGGAAATATGGTTATTATCTATGAAAGACTACGAAAATACTTACATCGTAGATATAAATTTATTGCATGGCTGAGATAGCCACTCCCCGGAATTCCCGTTAAGAGCGAAGTAATGGGTACAAGTCTGAAGAGTATGCCATCAGGGTAAGCAGCCACGGACTGAAGCCACTTCGAGTGGCTCTGTGCAAACACATCACCACCTCTTTTTGACCAAATTATAGTGAGGCCCTGTTCCAGATTATCTGGTTAATACCTTATCATGACAAGCACTTTTTTTCATTTCAGAAAACAGAAGTTCGGAGAGTGACTTACATCCTTGCTTGACGTCTCTGTTATGCTGGTAAATTGCATGGTATGCGACTGCAACATGCGATTGAATACCTCCGGGACCTATATAGTTGAAATAGAAAATCCATCTAAAACAATTGCCCCAACTTATGCGCATAAAATTTCGATGATACCTAAAGATAAATTAAGTGCCTACTTTAGTGAGTGTGAAATACCTTCTTTTTACTCTCCCTTGCCTTCATCTCAGGCAGAGGACTTGTTCCGTCGGAAAAGAGACAATCTCCAAGATCATCCAAATATCCTTTTAGTTCAGCAGGAGGGACTCCTGACGATGGTTTCTGCTTAACACAAAGTAAGTCCTGGCCTCCAACACCCATCCCCACAATGATATGTGTCCCATAAGTCCGGATAAATCTGCTAAGAACTGTCAAATTAGAAACATGCAGCAAGACTACCAAATGAAAACATGAATGCATCTCTAAATACTATCATGCAGATACTTAAGTACTAGTACAACCCCTCAAACCCAAGCAAGTTGGCAGCAGCTATCCCTAAATGCATTAGTACTTGAAGAAAAAAGGAAAGGGGGTCCTTAACATATCAGTTAACACACATATGACGATATTTTAAAAAGTTGTTGTTTACCAGTTAGAACTCACAAACAGCTACTCATCCAATTAAGGTAAAAGCGCACTGAGTGGAATGGAGAAGCTACCTGGACAAGGATGCCGGATCCCAATGCGGTGGAACAGCCTTCTTTACTTGGTCTTGGAGTACTAACGGGGATGCCGTCAGGTGCAAATAGTATAAGGAGACAAAATAACCATCAAAAGCAAGGTATTTAGCATCTGCTGAATCATTCAACCAGGCTCCACTTAAATCAAACATGGCATTTAGATAGCCTGATGGAACCTTTCCATGTACCGACGATTTTTGATTAAGCAATTCTGACATCTGCAATAAAGATGTAAGGAAGATTTAGAGCTAAGGAGACAGCCAATAACATAACAAAAAACACTAAAAGATCACTCAGATTATATTCTTCTCTTATTCGGTTTAAAATGCAGCAAGAAAACTATGGCTTTTATGCCTTTAACAGGTCTTGTTCTAACTTCCCTAAAGCTTTATATCCCTTCTTCTAGGTTTATATTAGTATTTTACGGATATTTACGTGATATTCTAGAATTCAAGAAGCTTGATGCTCTGTTTTTGCTTAAATGCTGCTACATAAAACATAAAACAATGGAGGAGAAAGTTAGGCTTGGCAAGCATGCTTAACCTTAAACAATAACATCATAACTTCCTGCATCTTAAATCTTCTGTAAACCTACCATATTTCTTTCAAGCAATTTCAAATGGTCAAACATATTCTTTTTCTTTTGTTTTATCCTCCATTTCCTGAGCAAGATAACTAATAATTGCACGAGAGGTGTGCATCCTTACTGCATAAGAAACCTTCAAATCCATATGAAAAACTCAAATCCGGTGTAATAGCCGAGGTGCGTGCAAGTTGGGTCGGACTCAAATCCATAAAATTCATCATAAAAGGAAAACATTTCACCCAAGATTTTCCTCCCCACTACATTCAATTAAATCTACAAAGTTAATTCACATAGGAACTGCATTAATCTGGATCATACAATTAAACAAATGATTTTAAGGTATATTCACTGACAGCATAATGAATGTTTTAGACTATCACTATAATTTAACTCAGTTTAACTTGACTTGTTACAGCATGTAAATTATGGATGTTAGTATTAAATAAAGTTACCTGCAATTACCTTACAAGTAACCTGATTGTTTCAGTTCACATAACTAAACTCTAAAACAAAATTCATAAAAACACAGAAGTACAACAATTGAAACCAAGTAAAGAATCATTAACAGGAAGGGTAAAAAAGGCAAACCTGATTAAATTCAAGAACATCGGATTTAAACCGAATATGGTCTCCTTTATCACATCTTATATTTTCAGAAACATCAGGAATGGTAACTCCACCAGGAACAACAACGTTGCGCCTATTCCTCTCATCCAAAATTACCAACCTACCCCCGTTTGAGCATTTTTTTACGAACTTCAACCTGAAATCGCTCGCAAAATCAAATCCACAACCCAAAGCTTCAGTCGCCTTAACCTCAATCGGCTTCCTCTCGAATTCTTCCTCCATCAGCTCAAAACGACGTAGTTTTGACCTGAAATTGAGGTTTTTGAGCTGAAAGTAGCTGAAATGATGGAAATTAAGGTTGATATTGGGGGGTGGGGTGGGGGTGGGTAGGGTAGTGGGGGTAAGGGGGGAGTTGGTTAGAAGTAGATGACGAGAGAGGGAAAGGGAAAGACAAAAGGTTTGACTTTTGACCAGACGTTTCGTCTGCTGTTTGTTGACTCCATTATTAGAAAAAGAAACCTACCTTCAAAAGAAATTAATGAAAATGGAAATTAATGTCTTGTAGGGAAGGTGAAGGGTAATATGGGAATTTAACTTTAGGATATTTTTTTTAATCATATGATATTAGGAATTCACTTGCTTGATTAAGAATTTATTTGAAAGGAGCCTCGGTAAAATTGGTAAAGTTGTTGCCATGTGATCAGGAGGTAACGAGTTCCGCAGAAACATCCTCTTTGCAGAAATGCAAGTAAGACTCTTCCCGGACCCCGCACATAGCAAGTGTTTAGTGCATCGGCTTGCCCTTTTTGCTTGCTAGACTAATTTAAATTGTGTATGTAGGAGTTGTCTTGTAGGTAAGTGAAGGGTGAAGGGTATTATCGAAATTTCAGGCTATATTTAAACTCAGCTGCCCGATTAATTCAGATTTATGTCATATACGATTCGTTTGAAGGAAAAAATTCTATTAAATTTTATTTTTTCAAAACTTAAACTTGAGAACTCTAGTTAAGGGAATTTTAAGGCGAAACTTTGAAATTGAAACATCAATTATTGAAGAGTCAAAAGCTATTTAACATGAAGACTACTATAAATTGAAAAGTTGTTCTTTTTAAAAACTCTAAAGTTCAACAAAAATAATGAAACATGATAAGAGCATGAAATAGTTGACTCTTGCTAATTGCAAAAAGAACAATTTAAGAATGATCAACTAATTACCATTCCAAAAAAAAAAAAAAAAGCAAATCAAATTATTATCTATAACCTCTAATTTATTGTTAAATATTGATTACTTATTATTATTATTGTAATGAATTTTACAAAGTTAAAAACTAGAAGAATTAACCCAAATAGCCGCTAACCCTACCACTTAAACTAAAAATAGCTTGTGAACATATAAAAATTATTATAAATCACAGTATTTTGAATTTAGAAAGTATTTAAAATATTATTAAAAAGTACCATTAAAAAGTTGTTGACTATTCAAATTCTAATAATTACTGTATAAAATGCTATATATGGAGTAGTAAGATGTCACTTTAACGTGTTGATCAAAGTTAAATTGTAATGATGAAAGTGTAAGCTTTTATCTCTCACTTGGATCTAAGAATTTTAAACGAAATAAATCTTTATTGTATTAAAAAGAATTATTTTTGGTTAAGATTTTAGTTGAGACATTTCCTTAATTTGGAAAGGCGACAAATTACATTTTTTTTTTTTGGAAATCTAAATTTCTATATTTTCAAGTTTTAGTTTACAAAAATAAATTAGTCTAAATCCTTGGCAATTAATGAAGGCAGAACTATTTATGACCTTAATTAAATATCTCATATATGCAAGCTTAAGAAAATGAAGAATCTTTGAGTAAGGAATATTCTACTGTTTTTATTTTTTTTGTTGGAGTTTAATTACTTGGTATTTAAATTTATTGACCAAACTAATTCAAAATCTTACCGTATAGGGCCTTGAAAAGAGGAAACACTTTCTATTAGAAATTCTTTTATTTTTAAAACTCAAACCCGAGACCTCTGATTAGTCCGGATGAATTTTGTTCATCCTATCATATTCCTTGATGATAAAAACTTACTCGCACAGAGTATTTACGTCAAACCAAATTAATTTATAATATTTAAGTTATAAAGCAAAATGAGAAAGTGTATTAAATAATTATATTTAGTTGTAATCATATTTAAAACGATATAAATCATGTATTTATTGGTTAATGTAAATACCTGATGCGAAAAATTGGATGGGTAAAAATAGCAAATGCAAACTTATACAATAATAACAACAATAACAAATCCAATAAGTTTTCATAAGTAAGGTTTGAGAATAGTTGTGTACGCAAACCTTATCCTTATCTTGGAAGAGCAAAGAGTCTGTTCCCGATAGACGGGAAATGCAAACTTATAGAATTTTGAAGAATGGGAAGTATGGGTGTCTAATGGGCCGGGTCAGCCCGTTTCCGGACCGGCCCAGATCGGTTAAAACCGGAACCGGCCCGGACCGGTAGAAGGGGGCCGGGTAGGGCTGGGTTAAAGGGGTATGGGGGTTTGGTCCGTTCACCTTGGGGCTACCGGTTAACCGGACCGGTCAAAGATTTTTACTATACAACCGGTTAACCGGCCCGGCCCGGCCCGGCTCAGACCGGTATAATGGCTACTTAATTATTATTTTTTATTTTTTTTAGTAATGGGGCCTTTGAATTTACTCTTTTTTCGTTAATTTACTTGTTGTTAAATATAAACCTTTCAATTTGTAAGTTTGAATTTTGAAATAAATGTAGCACTTGCAATTTATAAGTGTAATCTTTTTCCATTTTCATTGTATTCTTTATATTTTTACTTTATATTAATATACCTTACAATAGTTATACAAAAACAAAATACAAAAAAAAAATTAAAAATTACACTAACCCGGCCCGGCCCGACCCCTTGTACCCGTAATCCTTACGGTTCATTTTTTAACCGAGTGAACCCGAACCCGTTAAATCCGGTAAGCCTCAACCCGTAACCGGCCCGGAACCCAGCCCGTACGGTTTCAAATTTTGCCTACCCAGTCCGTCCGGCCCACCCGTTAGACACCCTTAATGGGAAGTAGGGTCAGAATACCTAAAACCGCGTGGCCCAGCAGGTGGCTGGCAAAGTGTCGTTGGTGAGTCTGCGACATCCTCTTTGCTTTAATTTATTTTTATTTATTCCTTTGCAAATCTCACCTGATTTTTGCTTTCACTTTGAATATTATTATCTTTAAATGATATATTGAATCCTCCATCTAAATTAAATATATGCAGATATTGAGTACATTATCTTTGTCTAGTTCAACTGCGAATCAATGAAGATCATACCTTAATATTTTAATTTTCTTTGATAACATGTTGGTTAGACTATTCTAAGTTGGAGTTATGTGACTAAAATGTAAGAAAAAGCTTAAAATAAGATCCAAATCACAAGCATGAAGTTTGTTGTATTTTTTTATATTTACCCCTTAGAGATTATACCTATGTAGATAAAATAAGTTAGTGAGTTTCATCATGATCCCTAACTTGGGATAATACAAGGATAATGAAGGTCCAACATACGGATCGATTACGAGTCATCTCCTAGTTTAATTTTTCTTTTGTTTCGAATGATTCAAACTAAATGGAAGAAATTTATTTATTTTCTTTTTAATGTTTATTATACTTATTAAGGGCGAGGAGAAGGATAGGAAAAACTAGGGAAGAAGATTACAAGTTCGAACGAATATATACATGTACTTGTAGAAACTACTAGTAGATCGATGTCAATGTTGGTGTGTTATGTGAGACAAGACGAGCAACATTGACCACACCACATCGTGAGCAAAATCTAAGACTTAACTATCGAATCATATGATTTATTCCCATCAACAGCAAGGGATGTGGTGAGATAGATGAAATTTTTTAACTTTTAATTAGAGTCTCGAGTTCATGTTTATAAAAATAAAAAAACCTTTGGTAGAAAGCATTTCTCCCTTTAATTAGGTCAGTGACTTCTGTAATATATCAAACATCAAACAAAAAAAAAAAGACTCATCCCATCTGACCCGGCCTATTTCTCATTGTTTGTTTCAACTGCCATTTCAAATAAAAAGGGAAAAGGAAAAAGAAAAAGAAATAACAAGATGAATCCTGTAAAAACATTGCGAAAATAGTAAAATTACCACACTTCCAAGGAGAAAAACTTGAAGATTCTTCCCAATCTGGCAAAGTGTCCCTCTTCAATACGAAACTAATCGAATAATCTTCACAAAATATCATCCATCATAAGCCTATTTAAATAAGAAAATTATTCATTTAGCATTAAATAACACATAATTAGTCAATGAGAGAAGAGTGATATTGATATGAATGATTAAATATGGATTAGATTTAATTAATATGGATTCTATCCATACAGTTGGTTGTGATTTTATGAGATTGTTTTGTCATAAAAATATTTGACTGTTAGAAGAACGACAAATAATTTCGTCACTCTTTTTCTAAATTTTGCGTTATTATTTCAATAAGTTAGTGGGACTACAAGTATTTGTGATTTTATGGCAACTAAAATCGCTACAAATATCAGAAAGTCACCACTGAAAGTACATCGGTTAGGTCGCCTCTTGAACTAACGACTTATGGCAACATATACTTGTAGCGGCGATAATATGGGTCGCCACCAATGCTATTCTTGTAAAAACATAATATAAAATATATTTTACAATTAGTTGCCCACTGTTATACAAGTAGTCCATTACCAATACAAAGAGAATACCATCATACATCTCTCAACAAAAGTAGTAGATTATGACCATAATTATAAAGTAAGCACTTCATAAATATATTATACACATGAAAAAATAAAAATCTTTAAATATTACTAAACTCCTACTTGTCAACAATCTGTTCAAGACTGAAGGTGCAAAATACAAAGCTAAGGACTAAACTATAGTTTAGCAAACTTATAACAGAAATTAGGAAAGGTAGTTACTGACTACCTTGTGCTAGTTATGAGAATATCTGATCAGCTCTATCTATATATATATGAATGATCAACTCATTGTAAATACATCTCAATGAAATTAATTCAATACACTTTGATAATTCCTCTCTCACGATCATCTGTTTCTCTCTTCTCTCTCGACTTCATCTCTGCCTCTAATTCCTTTCTTCTTCTTTCTATTCTTTTGTATTTGTTGTTGAGCTTCTCAGCTCATATAGTATATCATAAATCAGTTCATGGTATTAGAGCACCAAGCCATGGAGCTTGAAGATCAAACCAATTCCGCACAAACTTCTGAAAAAAAATTCATTCAGTTCAAAGAAACAAGGATGAGTATCAATGCAGATCAAGAAGGTATCACAAATGTTGTTGCATCTGGTGAAGGAAGCAGTCAAGCTTCTCTTGGAATCGACTA